AATGACCTCCCCGTGATCCCGACCCTTACTACCCTCCTGGCTTTCCGCAAAGCCACCAAGTCCTGGCTGCTCCAGCAGGCCGGGGGGCTTGTGAAACTTCCAGCCCCACGGAAACTGTGAATGTTGCGTATTTTAAAGTGTTGTTTTTGTCTATTTATCCCCTTCCCTTGTTTATTGTGAGCCGCCTGGAGTCCTTCGGGAGTGGGCGGCATACAAGACAAATAAACGAACTAATTAAAAACTAACTATGTAGACAGCTGTATTTACATACAATCCATAGAATGTGGCCAATTTATTCAGGATGTTATCTATTTTTAAGCCTTTTTTATTACAAAATAGCTTTTTTTTATAACTATATTCTTTTCTGTTTGCTGCCCAATATATTACATAACATGGGAGAATCTAATGAGAATTATAATGCTTTTCTGTTTAAGTCCTAACATAAGGCTTGCCTTTGACATACTACAATGCATGTAAAAACCAGCAAAATAAGACAGTTGATAAGTCTTGTGAGGCTGGTAAGCTCATGAAACAAGGACAACCTGGATTTCTGTAAGATAATTTTGATACCCCATGGAAGCAATTCTCCCACTCAACATACAGTTACGGTAGTATAATTGAAGTGGAGTTGCTCTGTATCGTCCCCCAAAAAGGAAGATTCCACAAATCCCTTTTGTGGATTTAAGTGTCCCTTTTACCACAGTTTTTTTTCCTATCCTGTTTTCCAAGACATTTTATAACAGATCAGCTTAAAGGTATTTAACAGGACAAAAATGTTCACTTACCAGTTTTAACTCTTCTGTTTCTAGAAATTCTGCTTGACTTATAATTTCAGGCTTTGATGGTTGCTCTGTTGTTGGTGGGTTGTTTTTTTTAGTGAAAGAAAATAATAAAAACTTGGGTTATATTTCAACTTTCAGATATTTGGAACTGAGTCACATACAGGGAACTCTCAATGCATGACTGCTTGGCACCATTCAAAGTTACAATAGCACTGAGAAAGCAATTTTACAGTCCTTCCTTGCACTTATTACGATCACAGCATCCCTGAGGTCCTGTAATTGAGATTGAGCACTTCTCAACAAGTGGGCATTTGCAGCCTTTGCAGTGTCCCATAGTCACTGTCATTTGTACATTTCACAGCTGACTTTCAACAAATACAATCAATGGAGAATCCAGCAATAAAATCACAAATCACATTCACATGATACAGTACCTCAATTAATGACCACAGGTGATTTCTTAATAATCTCACAAAAGTGAGGTCATTAAGTCAGTTGCAGCCATGCGTTATCTTGTTTATCAATAACACAGTGACAGAGTTGCCAGGCCCAACTGTAGTCATTAAGTGAGGACTACCTTTATGCAGCTTTCTCAACATGGATGGAATCAAATTATGTGAGAAACCGTCATTGTAACAGAATTATATTTTCGTATTATGTATGCAAAGAGCTCAAATAATTGTAACAATACTGATAGATATAAGCCATCCATTACTAACCAGATAAAGTAAATATCAATAAATATGTCAACTTGGTTGGCAACTGAGAGGAAAAAAAAACAAATTCAGCTCTAGAAATCATTAAGAAATGATTTAAAATAAAATTGTCAATATTACAATACATTTATAGAAACTTAGTGAGACTGCATGCGAGATACTGCACAATTCTAATTATCAAATTTCTAAACAGATATAATAGATTTATTGAAAGGGTAATAAAAATTAACTGAGAGCTCAAATAACATCCTTATAAGAATAAGCTACAATGTTTGATCCTTTTAGGATTGGAAGAAAGGTAATAAGAACATTTGTTTTTTTTTTTTGGGGGGGGGAATGTGGTGCTATGATTAAGATATGAATTTGTGCATAGCACCAACAATAGTTTTTCTCCTTTTCTGAAAATGTTAGGCCCATGGGCCATCCAAAGAAACTGATTGGAAGGAGATTCTAACCTATTTCACAGGTTAATAATGTACTGCATGCTGAAGTAGAAAGGAAATACTTCTGCATGCAGTACATTATTAACCTGTGAAATTCATTACCATAGGACAAGATGATATCCACTGACTTGTATGACGTTAAAAAGGCATTGAATAAATTAATGGGGGGATACTGTATTTTTCAGAATATAAGCCTCCTAAAGGCTATGCATGCCCTTTTTTTGACAAAAAACAGGCCCATTTTCACAAATAATGGGCCGTTTTTTTGCTCATTGGGGGAGCACCCCCAGGAGCATTCTACAAGCCTCCTAAAGGTTATTCATGCCCTTTTTTTGGAAAAAAAAACAAACAAACCGGGGCCGTTTTTGGGAGGTCTGCAGAGTGCAAAAACTTTTTTTTTCAATTTACCTCTTCAAAATCTTGGTTCTTATACTCCAAAAAATACGGTAGTTTTAACAACTGTCTTGAACAGTCAATGTTATTTCTAAGTAGGGGCAGCATATCTGAAATACCGGATGAAAGAAAATAATATGAAAGATAAAGAGTTCCATTTCCTGGTTGTGCAAAGCCTGGAGTCATTTGTTTGGCAAATTTTGAGGAAAAAATGCTCAATTAAAATTGGCAGGACTATTCTTATATTCTCATGGTAAATTAACCTCACAAAAACTAAAATTAGGTTGGAGATTAATGGAACAATTATAACACTACATCTATTCTCTCTCCCATTAAATTGACAGTAAGATTTATTCCTTAAAAAGATTTCTCCGAGTAATTCTCCCCAACTTGCTTCATAGATCAGAGATTTTAATTTTTTAATGCTGTAAGAAAGAAGTGCTCCTTGCCACCCAGTATAGAAATAGAGCAAACAATATATGAAGCTGCTATTGTTCCACATTAGATTTTAGAGAAAAATGTTCTTGAAGAGTGAGTGCAAAAACAATCTCTATATTACTCTTGAGGCATATATATATTCCTATGCAAGTTCCACTGGAGTTATTTATTACAGTACGTAACATGTAGATAAATATTTGCATTCTAATTTTGAGTATTAGATATTTACAAGTGTTTTTAAACGTGTAAAAATTGAATTTCAATTTGAGGGAATAAAAATTTGTTCTGGCAGATATGCTCAATCTTTTCAAATTATTGCTCAAAAAGTGAATGCTTAAGTCTTATGTTAGAGAAGTAATTGGTTGCAGAATTTGTACTTTTCTCCTCAGCTCTATTAATTTTAATTACTGAATTTTTAGGCCAGTGTTTCTCAATTTTGGCAACTTTTAAGATATATGAGCATCAACTCCCAGAATTCTTGGAGCTAAAGTCCATGTGTCTTAAAATTGCCAAGATTAAGACACATTGTATTAGATCATCCTTTCCCAGGTTGATGTTCTCCAGATGGAAAGTACTAAAAATTTCAGAATTGCAATTCACCCTTTTTCAGGGAGTGTTCAACCCCTTACTTTAGAAGTCACCATTTTGAACAAGCATGACAACTGCAAGAAAAAATGTTCCATGAACTGAGAAACTAAGAATTGCAGTTCAATAATATCACAGGCTAGTACAAAGGAACTGGGACAAACGTTCAATTTGATGTAAAATTAACTTAAATACAACCACTAGGATAATTTTCCATGTAATTTTTAATTTATGTTGCAGGAAAAATTACAATCCATTGGTAATTTTTGAAAAGAATCTTGATGGCTTTCAGTGGCCTTGACGTTATCCTTCTATTTAGAGAAATTAAGCGGTACTTACTGAAAATTTTGACGAGTGTAGCCTGTTCAAAGACATTGTCTTCAGTTACAAGCATGCATACAAATTTCTTTTCATCTCCAATTCTTGCATTATTAATGGACAGGGTAAAATTTTCAGAAAGACTTATTCGGTCTTTGTATTCTGGCACATTGTCATATTGTGCACTTGGTTTTTTTGCAGATCGCAAAGCAATAGACTCTGAAGCCTTGTTTGCAATTTCCTAGAAGGGAGAAATATTTATCAAATTTATACGGCTGCTTATCTCATACCAGATGACTCTTATCTTTCCCTCAAATGTTTTATGTCACTTCAATAAAACAGAGTTATTCATATACAATACTTACTTTATATTTACACAATACACATTATGAACAATTAAAATACATCCAGTTTTTCAAGGCTTCCGAATCCAATTTTCTAGTTAAATATATTACAACTCTGGAAAATTATTGAAAATAGAATGTAAAGATTTGGCCATTTTTTTCCAACCTGATAACTGGCCAGTTTCCAGATTTTTAAGCAACAGCCCACAGTGGCTTAGATTGTAGACTAACTTCACAAAGCTTATGAGTTTGTGAGGCATTGACAATACCGCATGCTAATCAAAAGATTTTTTTTTAAAAAAAACTGTGCAGCACGATAAATCAATAGTTGTTCACCCAGTTAACCCTTTTCCCAATCTTGAATAATATCTACTTTGGTATGTTGTGCCTGATTACTTCTCATTGCAGAATAGAGTTCTAAAAATACAGTAAAAGAAATTTTCTCCATTTCTATTTAAAATCTCTTGAGTTTATTTTCCCTACTCTAGAAGAAAATTCCAAGTTTTCATAACTTTTAAAAAAATCTTTCAGCATTCCTATGTAGAAGTATGTTAGCAAATCACAATAGAATACAATTCAAATGTAGGTGTGTGTTTGTTTGTGTGTGTGTGTTCAGCTTTGTGTGTAAGTTTACACTGTTTAGGTAGGTCAAGCCGGATATTATATTTCAGCAGATTATTTTGGGGTACAGCAGAGATATATGAGAATCAAATCACAAATTGGATCACCAGAACTAGGAACAATTCCAGAGATTAATTACATACTAAATATGATACTACCTGCATCAAAGGCAAATTGTTGCTCAGTATGTGTTAGGAAAACATGTGAAGAAAGTTAAACAACTCATATTTTTCTTATAGCTCCTACAAATATCTTGTTCAGCACTACTGTAAAAAATTATTTTATTCAACAGATTTGATCATATGCAGCAAAAATTTATCAGGAAGTACCCAATTTTGAAGATATAAAAATCACTAAGCATCTGAAGAAGCCTTTAATTTGATGAGCTTGAGATGTACTGATCTAATGTATTTTGAGAATCCCAAGCTGAGAAAGACTTCTCTGGACTAAGCACCTTGGTTTATTTCTAGTAAACCCTACAGAGATTACACCACCTTATGCAGTGGGTTACTGTACTATTGAATCTGTGCTATCCCATCTTTTTTATTGCTTTGTTGTATAGTTGACAATATTGTAAAATAGCTGAAAAAAGTACTAAGGAGAAATATTCAAAGCTTGTAAAAACCCAAGTTTTGCAGAAGAATAAATAATGTTTAAAGTGAAAAAAAAAAACCCTTTAGTCACCATTATTCTCCCTCCCTGAAATAATTCAATCAGAACTGTTATATCCTATCCAGTAGCCGGGGTGGGCTTCAAAAATTATAGCAAGGGGTTCTCTGACCGGTTACTGGGTGGGTGTGGCCATGGTGGGCGTCACTTAGTTGGCCTCCTGCACCATGGCATGGGGGGGGGGTGTTTGTCCTCCCAGGGCTCTGGAGGCTTTTCTCAAGCCTCCAGGAGGGTGAAAACAGCCTCCACAGGTTCCAGAGGCCCTCTGGAGGCAAGAAATAGACCCGTTTCTGGCCTTCCCGAACTTCTGGTAGGCCTGTCTTTTGCCCTCCCCAAGCCTCTGCGTGAACCCTGCACTTATCTGCATCCAAAACGAACCACTTGGGAACTTCTGGGAGAGGAGGGGTGGGCGGGGCTAGCCAGGAGTGGGATTTGGGGGTTCTCTGAACTGTACACAATCTTAGCTAGAGGTTCTCCTGAACCCATTAACCCTCAGCAGCCCACCCCTGCAGTAACCTAGAATTTGACATATTTCCATTCTGCAAGCAAGAAACCATTAGGTGGTAGTTGCATAGAAGATATGTATACGCACCTCCAAATGGAAAAATCCTAAAGAAGGTGGAAGAATTGGTAGGAATACTCATGAGGAGTTTGTTTCAGGTCACATTTGTCAGTATATTTAGTCTTATCTCCTGGCATTCCAGCACTTTCTTGTACTATTGAGAAAAGGTGGAGCTTTTTCCCCCAAGCCTTTGTGTAGCGCACACAGGCTTGCTACATCAACTCAGATAAACATGCATACACTGAGTAATTCACCGCAGGACATTTCCTTGCCAAAACAAAACAAAGCCAAATAAAGAAAAAAAAAATCACAAAACCTAGAAAGACCTTCCTTTCTTTGTTAGAAAGCTACAACTGGATTATTGGTTGCTGTTAGAATGGGCTATTTATTCTGTGGCGCTTTCAACATGCTATGAGAAGCGAGAGTAACTGCAACAATTTTTATTAGCATTCTGCTGGACCTGTATTTGGTCTCCTTTATGCAGGCAATGCACTTTCAGACACAGTATGACACACAACTATTGATTCTATGAACTTGCTTCATGTTGCTATAGTGAGCATGAAAAACAGTGTGTATAAAACAATGTGAATATAATAAAAATGTGGCAAAAGGCTTTTTACCACCGTGAAACACTTGGTCTAACAACTATGCAATCTGTTTCCAAATGAGCAAACAAATTATAATGGTTCTTTTATCCTAATGAACTCTAAGAGAAGTGGCATATTGCTAACCAGTTTCTTCATAAAAATACCAAGAGACTTATTTATTACAACATATTTAACACAAAATTTTAAAGACCTGCTTTTGAATAATACGTTCATTAGTCCCACAAAATTCCTCCTACATTGCAATACCAGAAATAATTTAAGATAATTTATACTTACGTATTTCCATTTTGCAAACAAAAGACCATTAGGAACTTCTAAATGGCAAGGCAAAACAATGGTATCTCCATATACTGTGTTTACTGTATATAATCCAAGTCCTGTTAAAAACAATAAGAAACAACTATTAATTCTATAATATTGGATTTTTCTAAGTCTTCGCTAAAGCATATGTACAACTGAAACACATTTTCAAAATTAATTAATTAATTTAATTATTTAACCCATGCTTAAAAAATTAGTTTGTGTTGCATTAAATATTTGTTGTCTTTAATTCATCACCATTCAAAATGAAGCCGGCAAAGTTGGCAAAAATCTGTGACAGCAATTTTAGAAGAACACAGAGCTCCATACTTGTGGCACATCCAATATAAGGCTAAAATTTGCAGTATATGCATATTTATATATTTCTATACTTTTGGATTTTGTGATTTGCCCCCTCTTTTTCCACAGTGCATGTGCATGCCTCTATAGACGTCACATCTATCTGAATGGCATGCTGTGGTGGTGCACAATTCTTTCTTATTAGTCACTGGAACAATAGATTGTTCTAAAGTATTCTTATTCTATATTATTTGTGAATTAGAGAATTTTTAAAGGTGAGAAAAAGTTTCAATGCTAGCATACAAAATTTCCCAGTGAAGTCTGGATTCCTTGGAAGTGCAACATCATCAGTGATCTAACTTAATCCCAGTGGTGTGGTAGGATTTGGAAAGTTTTAAGTAATTTGGAAAACAATTGTGAGATATGTAAGGAAGTGAAGTTAAGATTGCTCTTTCAGTGCTTGCATAGACATTCTGCATCCCTAATTCCCCAAGGCCAGGCTCAGCTTACCCGCTTCTCCAAAAAAGGCCATGAAAGTTTACAGCTTTGAAAACTTGAGAGGAGATGGGAGCCACACGCTGGTGTTTTCAGGAATCTGTCAATGTTCATAAACAGCTTTACCCCACTTATATCCTTAGTTTACAAAAGGGAAAGCTAACACAGTATAGGTGTGGCTATGTAAGACAAAAGGTGATAGGAGAAGATAGCAAGCAGGTGAGAAGGGAGAAATAAAGATAAAGGTTCCTCTCACACATATGTGCTAGTTGTTCCCGACTCTAGGGGACAGTGCTCATCTCCGTTTTAAAGCCAAAGAGCCAGCGCTGTCCAAAGAGGTCTCCATGGTCATGTGGCCAGCATGACTAAATACCAAAGATGTACAGTACTTTGTTACCCTCCCACCAAAGGTGATCCCTATTTTTCTACTTGCATTTTTACATGCTCGAACAGCTAAGTTGGCACAAGTTGGGACAATTAACAGGAGCTCACTCTGCTAGGGATTTGAACTGCCAACCTTTCTGACTGACAAGCTCAATATCTTAGCTACTGAACCACTGTATCACTTCGCGGTGAGAAGGGACAGGTAACATCTAGTAATTGCAACTATTACAGGCAAGCAAAAGGGCTGTCAATCAACTGTCAGGATCGCAAACTATGATAAGCAGCACATCTTGGTGTGATTCCTGTCTGAGCTTAGAAGCTCAGCTGGAGTGCTCAAAAGCAACATTGCTTAAAAGTGTAAAAGTCTGGCGTTTGGTAGCAACAAAGTAAGACCAACCACACTCAGGCAATATACCTAATCCCAACAATTGCAGGAACTTTTGGAGGGACTCAAAGGGTGTATACAAACTTTAAGATATTTGCCTGCTACAAGGATAAAGTATCAGAGCCAAGGTGGCGCAGTGGTTAAATGCAGCACTGCAGGCTACTGCTAGATCAGCAGGTCAGCGGTTCAAATCTCACCGGCTCAGGGTTGACTCAGCCTTCCATCCTTCCGAGGTGGGTAAAATGAGGACCCAGATTGTTGGGGGCAATATGCTGACTCTCTGTAAACCGCTTAGAGAGGCCTGAAAGGCCTATGAAGCGGTATATAAGTCTACTGCTATTGCTATTGCTATCAAAGACTTATTTATGGCTACATCAACTCACAATGACTAGGAGGGTGGAATTAACCCAGGGCACCAACCTATTGTAGGGAAAGATGTGCGCCTCAAATAAGCATTCCATACATCTTCTACACTGCAGTGTGTCAAAATAAAGAACCTTACAAGGCTATAAAACATTTTGATAGCCTTGAAAACTAGGTTTTTGCATCTAAGAATAAGCATATCAATTATTTTATTTAATTACAAGTAAACTTGGTCAGTTTGTACTCAAAACAAATGATCATGAATTGTTTCAGGGAGATTAGTCATTTATCAATATTTAACAACTTTTTAAAACAATTTCAATTTTTTACTCTTCTATCTAAAGTAAAATGAGATTTTATCTCTGCATGATGGCTACAGTTCAATGTGATATTTTGCATGATTTGGAGACCACGAAAAAAAAACATATGAATAAGACTAAATCTTGTAGTTGATTAATAAGAATGATTACATAGACAGGCTGCAAAGTACAATAAATATTAGGCTCAATAACATTTGGCCTAGTGTTGCAGTAATTCCATACTCTGGAAATGTCTTTCCATAACAGGTACCCTATGGATTATTTCATTATAGAATTATGCTAATGGCTGTACAATGGATCTGGAAGCAATGGCCTGGGCAGGCAGGTTAAAAATATATGAAGACCCTAGTAAATCATTTAGCAACAGCATACTTTCCAAATGTACAAGCCTAACTATCTGGTGCATTTCTGTTTACATGTACAATTAGCTTGTTTTATTTTATCTTCCTTTCCTTTGCTTGGAGCATTTTGGCCTACTGCAAACATCCTTTCTGACCTTTCCTTTCCTGAAACATCATGTATGTCTCAGATCAGTTTTGAAACTGCAATAAAAGGTGTTCCTAATAGTGGAGACTGTAATGCCAAAGTTGGAATATTGAGGAAGATAGAATTGGACTGTTTAGTCTAAAAACTGAAATGAAGCAAGTGATTGACTTATCACTTTTTGCCAGTCCAATTGTTTTTTCATCGGTAACAGACTTCCAATAGCCCAAATAATTCCAATATGCATGAGCATCATCAGATTGAATACACAGAAATATAGTATAGAGACTTAAGGGATCATCTCATCCCACTGTGATTGGCCCATCTCATCGGTGCTGGCAGAGGAGATATGCTGTGGGCCTCATTGGACTAAGTATTCAAACTGGTGGGGTCTTCTCTGCCACTGTGCCTGCCGTGTAGAATATCATGCCTCCTGGAGTGAGGTTCCAAACCTTCTGACTTTCTATAAGATCCTAAAGACCTGGCTCTGCCGGTGGGCTGGAGCTCCAGTGGGGGAGCATCACAGTGGAGGTGGTTGATTGATCAACAATAGATGCTACCTCCCACCCTTCCCAACTTTAATATCTTATTTATGCTTTTACAGTTTTTATTTTTTTATTATTGTAAGTGTTAGGTAAGCTCCCGTTGGGAGAGCGAATGTGTTCAGAGAAGCGTTGTGAGAGTTGTGTTGGAGAACACACAAACCAGCATACAGAGACACTGCAGTTTAAATAGGCTTTTACTTTAGTGGAAATAGAGGTATCAGAGTACATCAAACAGTCCAAGTCATACACGGATAAGACAGTCAGTCATCAATGTCTTTCAGTTAAAGGATAATCCAAATAGTCCATAATCATACAAACAGTCTGGTACTCAAAGTTTGGTAGCACTTGCAAAACTTACAATAGCTCACGACACTTTCTAACAGCCAGCTTCCAAAACATTCAGATCAGATCAGCCCAGCATCTAACAAACAGAGAGCTAAAGTCACTCTGGCTCCCTCTTATGGCCGATGGAGGAAACAGCAACCAATCACATTTTACAGTATTTTAAAGAAACAGGTACAGCATTGCTACATGATTTATATATTGCCAATCCAACCGTTGGATTATATTACTAACAGTAAACCACCCAGGGTTACCCTGAGATAAGATGGGGGACCAAATTAATTTAATAAACACACACACACACACACGTTTAGCAAAAGCCCACAATGCAGATTGAAAATGGTAATATAGCCTGGCTCTAGGTTGGAAAAGGACTCAATGGTTATATACTCTTGTATCAATGGTTATATACTCTTATATACTTAACAATGAGTATTGAGGTACCACGGTACTTCAATAGCCAGAAATGCAACTGAACTGCACTGGCATGAAAGTGAAGGAGCACAAAAATGAAACAAAGATTAAATGTAAAAACTACACTAATCATAACAAGTATAGCAACTAGCCTTAGAATTGACAATGAGGATACTGAAATGATAGCAATAGTACTTAGATTTATACACGGCATCATAGTGTTTTACAATTTTCTCTAAGCGGTCACAGAGTCAGCATATTGTCCTCAACAATCTAGGTCCCCATTTTAGTGACCTTGGCAGGATGGAAGGCTGAGTCAACCTTGAGACCCCAGGATCAACTGCTAGCAGTCAGCAGAGTTAGCCTGCAATACTGCATTCTAACCACTGCACCACCATGGCTCCTAAGTTATGGATAGTTTCTACCTTTTAGGATCAATTATCAATCTTAAGGAATTAGCAATCAGAAAAGAAACCACATACTAGAACTTAGAAAAGTAGCAAAAACCTTGGAAAAGATATTCAGATACTAGGATGTGTTTGTACTTTCTAAGATCATAATTATACAAGTGATAGTTTTTCCTCTGATACTTTATTCAAGTAATTGTAAACACAGAAGAGTGTGTTTACAGTTTTGATTTTGTTGTTGCAGAAGATTCCTGGGAATACCATGAAACAAAACAAATGAATCAAATAGAACAAATCATTCCAGAGTTGTCTGGAGGGAGGCAAATGTAGAAGAAAGAGAAATAAAAACTGCAAGGTGGATAAACTGAATTATACAGTGCATCAATGGAAAATTTTAAGGATCAGATGGGGATCAAATCATTGTGAAGAAAAACTATACTGTTTCTAAAAATTGACAGGACGTGATGGCACATAATCATCAAGCATCTTCAATCATTATAAGGCTGTGATGGCGAACCTATGGCACGCATGCCAAAAGTGGCACGCAGAGCCCTCTCTATGGGCACGTGTGATGTTTCCCCAGCTCAGCCAGCTGGTCGTCGGGTTTCCGGTGCTCTGGCGAGCACATGCATGTGGACA